GCCGCGCGGGCGGGGCCGAAGGGCTCTCGGGCTGTGAGTGCGCAGTTGCCGTGCCTGGCTCCGCTCTTCTGCCCGACTGGCGCCAACTATCGACTCGCGTCGCGGCCAGCTCTCGTGGCAAATTCGGAGGGACGCGGCGCGGTCGAACATCACGCCCGCCACCTGGGGCGGAGGAGGAGGGGGAGGAGGGGGAGGAGGAGGGGGAGGAGGAGGAGGAGGAGGAGGAGGAGGAGGAGGAGGATCGACTGGAGGATGACTGGAGTTTTTCCTACTGGGGGACCTGCGGCGGCGACGACAGGGCCAGCCCCCGAGGGAACGCAATTCAAGACGCCGCCGCACAAGTCCAGGGCGGCGAACAGTCCAGGACCAATGAGAGTACCGCCAACACCAGTGGAAGGATGTCCAACTCCAGTCGCAGCTACGCCGGTGGATCCTTCGACCAAGGTGACAATGCCCAACTTCGGACAAGATGGAGATGGCGAGATACCTTACATGACACAGATTTCGCCGACTCAGCCATTTCATCACATGGAGATGGAGGATCCCAACATGCCAGCGCCAGAGACATCGGTGACGGACGGCAGTACGACGGCAAGTTCAACACCTATGGGAGCTCCATATACAGCAGAGCAGATCGCCGAGCAGACCCGCAAGAGGAACGAGAGGGAGGCCGCAGCGGGAGCGGCCGAGCGGCCAGTTCCAGCAACACCAGAGGGCTCGCCGAGCGGGCTCACCGACGCGATGGGAGTTGTCAACCTCGTGAGCCAGGCCACGCAGGAGGCACCTGTCGACTCCGAGACGGCCAGTCCGCCGCGCAAGGAGGCAAGGACCTCCGCGTGAGGCTGGGATCTGTGCAAGTCAGATTTTTCCGAACAGATGAGGGACCACCAAGAATTTCCCCTCTTCCTCACGTTACTCCACAGCGTTCCATACTCAGACATGCAGCATGCAGTATTGAAACCTCAGTGGACTCATCTCGTTCGGAGAGCAGGGCATCATCCTGCCACAATTTAGTTTCCCTTGACGTTGCTAGAAGTGATAGTGACACTTGTCAGGCTGTTGAGAATATGTCGGGTAACCACGTAGGATCCAGTCTTGATTTCTCAGGAGTTTCTTGGGCATGGGGAACCCCTAAGGAGTATGAGTTTTTCCTCGAGCTTGCTTGCACGTGTGTATGTGGAAAAAAGTTAGAGGTTATTGTTTCGCTGTTTTTGAGCTTTTATCTTGCTAGGTCGTGCAAGTCTCCAGCTGAGGCAGTGTGCACGAGCAACTTATGTGAGCCAGAGTCTTTAAAGCATCCTGGTTCAAATTTTCATGAAGCTGGGGGTGGGCGCTATCATTGTCTGATTATCACAGAGAGGTGTGCTAAGAGTAGATACACCTCTCCTTCGGAAGACAATGACTGGCCGCCTGCTCTAGGCTATCTTTGGCTGGAAGCTTTAGATGGGGCGGGATGGGCAGGAGTAAGGTGGGGTGGGGGAATTCAGACTACACAGGTCTTGAGACCCGACGCTCCTGTCTTTGTTCCGCGGGAGGCCGAAGTCAGAGGGGCTTGGCCCAATCCGTTGGCACCAGCTTGGAAAAAGGAGGCATATTCCACTGATTGTGAGCCGCCCTGTTCCTTGTGGTGTATCGCAGAAGAAACATCACTTTTTGGGCGGCTCCACGATTTCTCGCTCGATGCTTGGATTTCGATTCACCCTGCTCCGACGGTGTGTGTATCCGCATCGTCTGAATTAAGAAATGTTTTGGTATATCAAGGTTCGCTTCTAGGCTTACAGGCAGCTGTTTCGTTTCCTAGTATCCAGGTCAACGCTTTTCAGTTTCTCTGGGGCTCTCGGCTGAGTTTCGAAACCTATCTGTGTTGTCCTGGGTTCACCTATTTTCATCCTGGGCCGATACTGGCCAAGCTGCTCCCACGCCGTTCTACCCCCCCCCGACACTTCAACATGTCGGGGAAGAGGCGAGGCATCAGGTACTGTTCCCCCACTCCAGAGCCCCTCTCCTAGCTCGGTCACTGCTCCTCTAGTTTGCCCAATGAGTCGTTTGGAATCCTTATATTCGATCATTCAACGACATGGCAGGCTGATCTGGACAACAGAAATCGAAGGAATACAACTACCAGAGTAGGTTCAACTTGCCCTGGATATGTGTCCGACAAGACAAGCGGACTGGACAGCATTTCATTTTTCACTGACGGGTCCGTCAAGGACTTAGACATGCAGTCTGCCACGTGGGCTGTGGTCCGAATATATGAGGACTCGAACGGGCTCTCTTACACTGGGCATGTACACGGGTATCTTGCAGACACCTGCAGGACACCAATTACCGCTAACAGACCCTCGTCAACGGACGCGGAGTATGTAGGTGTGATGTGGGCTATTATTGCCATCATTTATGAAGTTGCCACGTTTGGTACCACGACAGCGACTATCAACACAGATTCTTTGAACGTGGTTACGGCATTGCGTGGTGAACGCGCGCTGGATACATCTTGCAGGCTAGCGGTCATGACAAGAGTGCTATGGGATTTAGCGGGGTCAATTGCAAATGTTTCTATTTCTCACATCAAGGGTCATGATGGCCACCCTTGGAACACCTCTGCTGACACATTGGCCCTGGGGACCTCTCGTGGTGATCTAATTCCACTTAGTTTTCCTTGCGAGCTGCTTGATGTCACATTGCACTCTCGTGAAAGGGAATGGGAATGGTTGAATCAGTTGGATGATAGTGAGCGAGCAGCCTATCCTCCAATTTCCTCTGAAGGTTTCTGTTCCTTCCTGTCTTGTGACCAGGTCAATGTCGGCCATGTACCGGACCCCTTGGGACCCTCCAAAGTTATTAAGGCTCAGGTAAGCTGCTCACTCACGGTTGTACAATATAACGTTAAAAGTCTGACGCGACGTGAGTATTACGGGGCAGCGGGCCGCAAAAGGCGAGCCCGTCGTGTCATGGTGCGATCCCAATTAGCGGATGAAGGTGTCCATATTGCCGGGATGCAGGAGACAAGGAACCCTATAGGCGATCGCTCATGCAAAGGCTTTGCTATTTTCTCCTCAGGAGCTGGGCCAGGTGATGACTCAGGCTTAGGGGTGGAGCTCTGGATCAGTCTGGATATCCCGTATGCTCAAAAATCAGGTAAAGACTTGTTTTTCTCAAAGCGCCACGTTAGGGTTTTGCACTCCACCCCACGTATGCTTGTTGCCTGCATTAGGGCACCTGAGCTTTGTCTCACAGTTCTGGTTGGGCATGCCCCCCACAGTAAGACGTCGCCGTCAGAAATAGATTTTGGGCTGACGTGGCTCAACAGACAGCAGACTGGAGCCCTGATTTGTTTCTCGTTGATGCCAATGGGCGTGTGGGTTCACAGGTTTCAGAATTTGTTTCCGATCAAGGTTCCTTTCAAAAAGAAGATAGCAACGGGGGCAGTCTGCATGGCATTTGTGCGATTTCGGGGACCCATCTGTTGAATGCGCAGATCGCAGCTGCAGAAGATTACACTTACACCTGCCCTGGGGGAGAGCACCATCGTATTGACTACATCGGGTGCTCTCAATTCTTACGCGACAATGCTAAGAGTACTGAGGTGTTGCATGATTTTGACACGGGGCTGAAGGGCAAGGATCATTATCCCCTTAAGGCCAAGTTTGAGTGGCAACAAGCTGTCAAGTACCCCCTTCTCCAGGCCAAACCCATTGATATGAGAAGGCTTAAAAATCCTGATGATGTTGCCCATTTCAAGACACTACTGAACGCCATACCCCAACGAGAATGGGAACTCAATGTTTCCAGTCATGCTCTGGAGGTGCTTCAGGATATCAATGATGCTGCCAGTTCTGCCTTTGCGAAGAAGGCGCTTCGAGCCAAGAGGCAGTATGTTGACAATGATTCTCTTGCTCTCATTCGATTCCGCCGTGGAGTACACAAAGCACTTCGTACCTGGCAGGGGCATGGCTCAGAAACTTGTGAGCGCAGGTTTTCCTCTTTTGCTTTCAGGGTGGTTGCTGGGGACCTGAAAATGCTCCTCGGGACATGTGATTCTAGCTGGTGGGTTTCTCAGTTGCGAAATCTTGAGCGAGCCTCGATCCAGCGTCTTCGTGCCAGAATGGGTTTTGAACAATATTCGCAGGCTCTTCTGGTTTTTCTCACATCCACTGAAACGGCTTTGCATCATCTGTTGGAAGCTGATCGCACACGTTTTTTGGACAAGTGTGGAGAAAACATTAACACTGCCATCGATGGAGCGCAGCCTCTATCAGAGTGGACGGCAGTCAAGAAGTTGCTCTTGTGTGGAGGGAGGCCATCGAGGCCAAAACAGGGGCCCCCACCACTCCCAATGATCAGGACACCGCAAGGTCAGGTCTTACGGGAGGAGGACGACATTGCTGATCACATCCAGCAGCACTTCTCGGGCGTGGAGATGGGCAAGGCAGCGCAACCACAGGCATTGGTTGACGACTATAATCAGATGTTGCCTCTTCTCGACGCAAACTTTCCACGTGATATTACAGTTGTTCCTACCATCTATGGTGTTGAAGCAGGCCTCGCGAGGCTGAAAACAGGTCGGGTCCCTGGGACCGGTGGTTTCCGAGCTGAATATGGTAAAGCAGCCTCTAAGGAAGTGGCGAGACTCGTGACCCCCCTGTTGGTCAAGACTGCTATCGCTGCCAGGGAACCGATAGCGTTTAAATCCGCTCGCTTGGGTACATTTCCCAAAGGTTCAGGGGATTTTACTTTGGCCGCCTCACGTCGCAGTATTCTTGTATCACCGGTGTTAACCAACATGTACCATAAGTATCTAAGGAGTCTTGCCATGGACTACTTTTATGCATCTGTGCTGTCAGTGCAGATGGGAGGGATACTTGGTCGGGGGTGCGACATTGCTGTCCTCACCACACGTTTGCTTTTTCAACTTGCGGAACTCCACGGGCTTTCGGCTGGGGCCCTGCTTCTGGACCTGAAAAATGCGTTTTACACCACCTTGAGGCAGCTTGTCTTGG